ATTTTCAGAGATGCTCCAGCAATAGGTTCAGCGGACGGTGCTTGAGAGATGACTTTGTTTTGGCGCTTCTGAGAACAAGGAGGCGGCTTCTGGAAGCCAAACTTCTTTTGTGCTCGACAAACACAATCCTGGCAGATTATCTCGAGCCTTTCGATTATCGGAAAGTTATTTGTAACTTCTTGTTTGTTGGCAGAATGAATATGCGTTAGTTGAAGTTTAACTGCTATTGGAGATTCAATTAGAAAATGATAATGAAGTCATTAACATGTTCTAATTTATATCAAGTCAGATGTTTTTTCTAGCATCTAGTTCATGATATAGAATTACGTTAGCATCCAAGACTTATTTATTGCTGATGTTGCATTTGTTACAAGTCGTTCGGATATAATTTAAATTTTATACCTGTTATCTAACTTTCTGGGAGGTTTGTAGTCAGATTTTTCAAACTTTTTAACTAAAGATCAAGTCTATAAAGAAAAATTTACTTGTCCACTGAAGCACGAAATTTATAATTCAATTTAGCGAAAAGAAATTCTCGCTTCGAGACTTCAACTTTTTTGGTTAGTCCTGTTTGGATGAATGGCCTCTGCCATTGATGAAAAATAACGTAATTACTTATTTTAACCAAAAAAATTATGCTTCGAATAACTAATTCGAAGAAAAAATATCCTCATTGAACTGATTTTCAGTGACAGATAAATGAATATGCGATGGCTATCTCGAATATTTCGAAGTCAATTACTTGTATTGCATAACAAAGAATGTCTACAAATGAGTACATTTGTGTAGTTTTGTGTACATTTGTGTATCATTCGAAACGTCGTAAAATTATAATAAAACGTCCCTTGGAAACCTGATATTTGGATTTTCACTTCCTATCAAGAGCCTAATTCGCCGAATAGAGAAAAACAATAAGAAAATTGTCAATAAGAAATACTTTCTGGTCTTCAATGAAACCTGCATTAAATGAGTACATTCCAACATTTCCAGTCGAGGCGCCACGTCGAGCCGTTGGTCTCCTTGAACTAATTTACAAACTATTTCCAAATTAATTTTAGTGACAGATAAATGAAAATGTAATGGAATTCTCGAAAATTTCGATGCCAATCACTTGTATTGCATAACAAAGAAAGTCTTCAAATGAGTACATAGCAACGTTTCCAGCCCAGGCGCCACGTCGAGCCGTTGGTCTCCTTGAACTAATTTCCAAACTATTTCCAAATTAATTTTTAGTGACAGATAAATGAAAAATTGATGGCTTTCTCGAGAAAATTTCGAAGTACTTAAATTGCATAACAAAGCAGGTCTACAAATGAGCACATACGAACATTTCCAGCCCAGGCGCCATGTCGAGCCGTTGTCTCAGAAGCAGCAGCGGCTGAAGAACCCAGCGTCGCGACCCGCAACACAAACTCGCCCCGAATATTATGGCACTTTTACTCGCTTAACCGAGACGTTTACGACTGTCGTCATGGAGCGGAAACTAGCCGCGCTTTTCTGGATTCCGCGCAGACTATTGCTGGGGCGTCCGACTTTCTGGCAGACAATTCGTCTGTTGAGTAACAGATCATACGTCTTTTAGGTGCCAGACAATTTTTTTGCTGATAACAGATATGCGAAAACAAAATAAATATATATTAAGTGGAATGAGAAGTTTTTCAGAGTGGCAGGAGAAGCATCTGTTGAATGGCAGAAGAAGCGTCTGTTGAGTGGCAGAAGAAGCGTCTGTTGAGTGGCAGAAGAAGCGTCTGTTGAGTGGCAGAAGATACTTCTTTTTAGTAACAGAACAATCGGTTGCTGAGTGGCAGAAGAAACTTCTTTTGAGTGCCAGAAGAAGCGTCTGTTGAGTGGCATTAAGAGCGGCTGTTGAGTGGCGGGCTGGTCGACATGCAGAGACGTGTCACGCGAGCTGAATTTAAATCCTGCTGATTTGCTCAGAATTATTCAGATTTTCTGGTACGCGACGAACTGCAGAGACTTTATTCGAGTTTAACGGCAACTAAAAAAATTCTAATAATCTGTCATTTATGTAAAAATGAACTCAATTTTTGAGGTGTTGATGTTATTTCGATTGATGCCTATTGTCGATAAAAGTTTTGTAACGTATGAGATAAAAGTTTGTAACAATTTATAACAGACATTTCTGGACATTTATTTGGAGAAAATTTATAAATTTCCATGAATTATCCGTTTTCGCCAAGCTTGCTTTCAATAACTTTTTTCTGTTGCTTTCAATCAAACTTCGGAGATCAGAAAAGTTTGTATTCCTCAGCAGTCTGCGGTGACCTCATGTAAATGCAAGCTCTTGGCGGAGCTCTGAATGTATTTGGATGGGAAAGAAAAGAGAGACGAAGTGTAGAAATTGAAGAGAATTTCCACGAAAGGAAGGAAAAGTCAAGAAGCGGGAACTAGTCGTGTCGAAGGCAAAAGTGGTAAACTAGATTTAAAAAAATCATTTAAATTATGAAGAACAAAACATGACATAAGATGATTTCCAGACTTAAGACGAAGCAGTATCGAGAGCGATGAGGGAAACAGATACCATTTGTTGAAAAAAAAGAGACTAGAGGCAAATAAAGGAGGAGTGGGGAGATAAAAATAACACTGCACAAGCTGCTTTGTTCGTATTATTCCTACGCGAAAAAAGAGGCTTTAGAACCAGTGATGTAATTTTACGACCCTATCTAATTTGTTTTCAAGCACTTCGAAAAAAATTGAGCTTTGCTGAAATTTATTTATTCCACGCAGTATTGAAAATTACGCAACGCTTTTCCATTCTCACTACACTTGCAACAAGATTCGACAAATAACGAAAACTATTTCTACTGAAAATATAGTCGGCACAAAAAATATCCTATGAGTGCTTGTTATATTCTATGAATTTTTAGTTTGTTTCATGCATAAAGTTGTAACGATAACTTGACATTCAACTTGATGAAATACAATAGTGAACGCAACTCGCTCGAAAATGCACCCTGTTAAAACGAATAACTTGAACAGCAACCTATTCTATGGAGAAAAAAAAATGAAATAACCATCGTTAAAAAAACCAACCCGAATGAAGGACTCAGTTTTAACGATCATTAAAAATAAACTTCTCAAATTCAACTTTCCAACAGTTTTCACGTAAATTTCTCGCAAAGCGTGTCACGTCAGTCAGCGAAACTTCCGGTGCGGCAAGGACAATTGTGTCTGGACGTAAGGATTTCCCGCAACGAGACTGCGTGGTGTCAAATTTACGTAATCAACACGTGTGTGTCACTCAAACTTGGTCAGGCGAAAGTTAACTTTATTTCAGAAGCGTAAAAAGATACCAGTATTTTCAAGCTTCCCCATGGTACAACTTGCCCTTTCTAGTGTAAAATCCACTATTTTATTTTTCTTTAACGAGTCCTGGCACAAGTTTACCCCGTACGGTACGCGACGTTTCCGTGCAAAAGAATTCATCACGAATAATAATTATTTACCGCAAATTTATCATTATTATCATTATTATAAGAGAGTTCCGAATGCAAGAAATATTATAAAACCATTTATCAAATTTTAACACCAAGTTTCAAATATCGTAGCAAAAAATTTCTAAAAAAGTTGAATGAGTCGCAAATTAAATCGCACCATCTTATATGAGCTTTTAAAACAGCTATTGAGCACCTCGGTTGTGAATTTAATTTCCAAGTGATTTAGTTACTTCATATTAATTAAAATATTCAATTCATGAAATAAAAAATATAATTTCAACGAACATGATCTAATTTTACTTCCCTAATGAAGATGCAATACTGCAGGCAAATTTATTCAATTTTGTACAATATGTCAAAACGACAGCTTGAACATTTCTTCAGTGTTATATCGTGCAACTGATTTCTTTAAATTCAAACATTTGTACGCTGCTTAGCATTCATGTCTGAGAATTATTTTACACAAATTCGCTGAATTACCTTATTTAATACATAATACCTGAAAAATAAACACGAAAACGATCGAAGGGAAAAATTCAAGAGACTTTGAAATTTTTCATTAGTTTTCTTTCATTCCTGCGCTTAGAGAAACATAGCTTGTGTAGGCTCAAGTGTGGCAGAGGCTCAGCTAAGGCCTTCTTGATCCTCGGTCGCCTAAATTCCTTGCTTTGTTGGCCTTATCTCTGATTGCCACCGAGTGGCAGGCTTTGTAGTGGTTTAAAGAGATTTTTTCCCAGGCTTGCTGCTATGAGCGCATGTTTTGGAGGATATAATGACAACTTCTTTACCAGAATATGCATGCTCTCATAAATGTGGGCCGTCAATTGTAGCGCTCTAGTTTGTATGTCAACTCATGTAAAGCAGCATCTCAAAAACTGACGATAAAGTTAAACCTGCGGATTTATGAACGAGATTTCAAATGCAAATTTTGTGGCGGATAACAGATTTCTGGTTTTTCAGATTTTACTCAGACTTGCGGAACTACGGAAATTTTTGAAGCAATATCAATAACCACTACATTAATTAATTTTTTTAAATCCACTTACATTCGCGACAATGCTCAATGTTCATTTCACTTCAGAAGGAATATATTTATAGTTTCTTGAACAAAATTCTACATCAAACAATTTAAACCCGTATTCTATTGAAATTAAGCAAACACTCCATGGACTCTGCTACCAGTATTTTGTTTCCCTGCGAGCTTGATAAATTGCAGATGAAAAACGTTGAACTTGATGAGAAATTAATTCAAATTACTAATTCTTATCGTAAGGGATTAAAAATTTATTGAAATTAACTCCCTTCAATCAAATATCAATCTTCTAAACTTTATTTACCACACATTCCATGTTCTACTTTCATACAATAATTAAGAAAATGATTTCGTATTCATTACTTCATTTACGCAGGACACCACGATGCATAATTTGCATTTACTTCAGAATAAATAATTAGAATAAATGATTGAGAATAAAAGTATTATTGAAAGTCATATACAACTAAATAATGTTTAATTTTATTTTGTCACGATTCCTACCAATTAGAATTAAAAAATATTTCACACACACATTAATTTCGATTAATTTCAATTAACGACTTCAAGAAGCCTCGATACGAAACAATTAACCGAGCAATTGTTCCAGCTAGAGATTGTCGAGCGGTTATTTTTACAGACCAGGCAAAAACGCTTCCAAAACTAAACTATTATCAATATATAAGGAACAATATTTTTATGAATTTTAACCAACTCCACACACGCACATAAGGTTCTTGAATTACTCACACAAAGAACTTGCAAAGCTCACCCGAAGCTCTCGGTCCAAGCTACCAAATAGCTTACAAAAAAAACGTATAAACACAGCCGTAGTTTTATGAGGCGGATGCATGAGCCCTGAGAGGGCGATTTTTGGGAGAGACAAATGTTTGGTTGGTGCTCGAGTTAGTGCTGGTCTTAGATGCGCTCTGTCTATAGTTTGTGTCTCTTGTGTTGCGTCTTTTACGGTAATTTTTTTTCGTGCTAAATAATAGCAGCTGCTGAGAAAAATTGCGCTACTATACTTTTTCGCCTCGCTTCGATGTTTTTCAGACTGTTCGTATTCCATTTTTTTTAATCTATTAGTTTAAATTAGTGAATTCAATTCACGTGATCATTCAATTTATAAAGAAATTACGAGTCATTTACTTATTCGAAGACAAATAGAGATTCAGAAGTCGAAACAGGGACTGTTGTTGTATTCCTGCGGGTTGATTTTTGCCCAAATTTCCAGCATTCTTTGTGGCGTGATTTTGTGGCCCGTGAAAACCTGAAACAATAAATTCAGAATAGAATTTCATAAAGTGAGATGTTATTAATAAATATTAATAGCTATTAACGTACCTGCATGTCGCCGCAGTCTTCGCAGTCATCAGGCAAGTAACGCAACAAGTAACGTACCAAGTAACGTACCAAGTAACGTACCTGCATGACGTCGCAGTCATCAGGCAAGTAACGTACCAAGTAACGTACCAACGTACCAATTAACGTACCTGCATGACGTCGCAGTCATCAGGCAGGAGCTCGCCGCAGGAGAAGGCGCGGTGGTGTAGGGGCGGATGTACCCCAACGGCCCGTGCCAAGTGGCCCGTCACGTACACGTCCTCCACGGGCACGAGGGGCACGTGTAGAGACGCACGGTACATTAATGGTACCAGTGAGCCCGTTAAGACGTACCCTGCATGTACATCACGATGATTAATTCTGAATTATGAAGGAATTTGAACCGAGTTTTTTTATGGCATTCATATACTATTCGGCGGCAAAAAAATTACTGGTGCTAATTTTTAAGAAAAATTTGCATCCAATTTACAACAAGTAAACTTTTGATGGAATTTTCTATACGAATTAATAATTAGGATTTAAACGAATAGCGATAATTATATTATTTGAAACTTTAGTATTCTGAGAGAATTATTTGTATTTACCAGCGCCGGCAGTGAAGAGTGGATGCGCTGGAGGCATCGGAAAGTCGTTCGGTAAATGCACAGGAGCAAAGGATTTTTTCTGCTTGATACAGCCTGTTGTTTAACATTATTTGTTATTTATAATATCATTCATTTATTATATTATTATTCGTTACTATCTTATATTTATTATGTTATTTGTTGACCAGTAAAACTGCAAAAGTAAAAAGGAATAAAATTTACGGGGAGGCAGCAATAATTTAAAATGAATAAAAAAATTTTGTTAACCACATTTCATTGTAACGCTTTGAAATAATTATTGAATGAAATAAAGGAATATGATAACTAAATTGGTATTTATAAATATAATTTAGAACCCGGAAAACTTGAAAGGCGAGAGTTTAATGGGAGTTCAAAGGCTACACGTTGAATGTAGGCTTGGACACGCTTTTATTATTATCATTATTATCACATATAAGCTTTTATCCCATCAGAGGAATAAGGAACAACACGACTGACGGAAATAGAGATAGCGGGATAATAAAATTTATGTGATTTTCAAGCCCAGGAAACGCTAGTCATAATTGCTAGTACATAGCATAGCATAGCGGTTTCAGCATTTATAAGGCCGCAGGCCTGCCGCTGATTCTTAACGTCATAGAACATTCACAGCTTGTTGCGGTCTCGAACTCGCAACTCACTGCTACAATTCTGCTGAGCTTAACCGCCCGGCCTCCTTGCCGATTCTGACCAGACACTGGCGCACAGAGCTGGGATCGAACCCGCGCCTCTCTGCGCCAATCTTGGTACTCTGAACTGTAACCACTGGGCCACTGTGGTAATAATAAGTTCAACAAAATAATCAATAAAATTATAAAATAAAATAGTAAGTTCAATAATATTATCAATTTACTTGCTTTCTATTCACTAATCATTTTCTCGAATAACTTGCCTACTATGTAATCGTCTCGCGTTCTGCTCAGTTCACGTAAAAACGCCATCAATTTAGGCGCGTTCACGTAAATGTCGTCGTCGGTCTTCATGAAATATTGAGCCTGAACGCAGTGCGACTGAGCCCACTTCAGAGCCATGACTGATTTCAGCGTCAGGTTCAGGTAGGTGTCTCTGAAGTCCTCCTGAATTATGTCTCCGTAGGTCTCTGCTTCAGACTCTATCTGCACGTAAAGATAATATTTTAAACTAATATATTTGAACATTATATTCGATATGGAAATTTCTTTCAAGTCAAGAAAAAATTAAATTTTCGTGTTTCTCAAAATGCAGTAAACTATGGCAATAGAAATGTAATTGAAATTAAATAGTTCAAAAACAGATGTCATTATGTATGTATTAAAATTCCGGTGAACAAAATTCAAGGATATACCGGTACGTTTTGAGTAGTTTTCAGATCGAAAAAATTACTAGTCTTCTGATAATTAGAAAATCAATTTTTGAAATAAGTTTAAGTATAATTATCCTTTCTTGTAATCTATGCCATCATTTCTGTTCGTTGAATCAGAAAAAGGAACAATTAAAGTTTCATGACTTGTAAGGATATACTTTCCATACCAGTTCCAAATTTTCTCTCTGTCACTGCATACATTAATTCGTAGAAAAAAACTCGGGCTTTTGAGTAATACCCCTTAGAATTGTACATTAAATTTCCATTTTTCAAAATAACAAAAAATAAAATGAGGCTCGTCTGCCTCGAAAAATTATTTAAGTGCACATGAAGCAAATAACTCCCATTAGATGACCAATTATGACATGACTAAGGCACATCATTTTTCTATTTTGAATAGTCAGGAAAAGGATAAAATTATTGCAAGAGCCAAAACAACTAGCTGTTAACTTAAAAAAATATAAGAAATTCAATGAGTGCGAAGAGTTACAATGTTAAAATAATGGCAATATGTCTAGAGAGATAAAGAAATAAATTAAAATGATTCTTTAAAAAATTCATAATCAATTAAATAATAATCGAATAATATACTTTTTAATCATATAATATTATTTAATTAACATTTATCAATTATTAATTGATTAAAATTGATTAAATTTAGTAATTATTGATTAATTATAATTAATTAGAGTTAATAATTAGCAATTAAATAATTTTAAATGAATGTATCAATTATTAGTTAATATTAATTACATTTATTAATTAATATTAATTAATAAATTTTTTAACATCATGTATGCACATTTTGGAAGAAAACACGCGCAGTCAATAAAGTAGAAAGTCGTCTCAATAACAAAAAATATTAATTACATTTATTAATTGACGATTAATTAATAATAAATAAATAATTCGTTGATATAATAAGGAAACAGTCTGATGAACCCAATGACCTGTCGCTGGACAAGTGCCTGCTGAGGGGCGGCTAAGAAGAACGCAAGCCTCGCCCTGAGCGGCGCCAGCGACTGGCCGCTGCCCCACGTGCGGCGTATGGCGTTGCGAGCCTCGAAGTGGTCGGCCGACGATAACACGGCGATGAACAACCATACCTGATGAAAAATAATGTGTTTAAAAATTACTATTTAAAGACAACACTTCTAAAGAATCCAGTGTCTCTGATGTTACACATGTATAATGAATGTATTACTTTATCAGTAAATATAAAAAAAAATTATTTTTATATTTTTTAAATGTTGACAAAAATTTAAATTTAGAAAATTATTTATTCTGACAATTGATTCGTGCATTGTCTTTAACTTTACGTAAGTGTGCAAAATTTCAGACTGATTGGACAGGTATAAGTGTGTTAAATATCGATTATAAGATTTGTAGCAGAGAGACAAAAAAAAACAAGAAGTGAAGTTAAAGAGAAGTGTTGTAAAATATATGAAAAGTGGGCACAACTTTCAAAAAATATATAATCAATATTAGAAGTGTTGAGTGTAATACAAGAAAATGTTCAATATAGAAAATTAAATTATGTAATGATATGTAATTGCTATAGAAGCGTCCAAGTGTGATAGAATAAAACAAGTGTTCAGTAAATTTTGGCTCGACCGGCTACTAACTTTTCTGTATGGTCCTTTCTCATAGACACCGTTAATTAATTTAAATCTATAAGATAGCAAATAAATAAAATAAGTGATATTATTAATATAATGATATATTTTCCGTAATCTTTAGAAATAAAACGTTTTGTAAGTAATGAAAATAAATAGTGCTACAACCACAAAACATAATAAGGCCAAAGTGTGTGTAGCCGTGTCTATTACGATGGAAGCAAATATATGAAAGAATGAGATGCAAATCATGTTAATTTTAAGAAATTTTTAATAAATTTAATCACAGGAAAATAATTAATTTTTGCTTACTTGGTCTCCTTTACCGCATATACGGTCATTATTCAATAACAGCTGATAGTTGTGCGGATTAACGATTGGTTTAGACTTCAGTCCGCCATCTTGGTTTGGGATCAGAACGGCTTGAGGATTTTGATTGATTTTTGAGTGCAGTTTGTCATCGTTGCCTTCTGATTCACCAGCGTTATCGTTATTGATGACGTCATTTTGCATGAATGTTTCAATATCATCTTCACTTTCTCCGCCATCTTGTTTAAATTCCCCGCCCTGAAGTTTCAATTCTTTCAAATCTTGTTTGGAATGGCTACGTCCAGAATTAGCTTTGCCGTTCTTAAATTCTTGTACTCCATCAGTTTTCAAATCACTCAATGATTCTGGCTGATCAATATTTTTATTTTGAATTATTTTATGAGCATCATCAGCATGTGCTAGGATTTTGACATTTTCTCCGTTAGGATTTGTTAATATATTGCTAAATTTCTGAGCATTTGTATCCTCTCGATCAGATAAGGTGCTCCTTCTAAACAATAAATATAATAAAAACAAGACGAGTATAATATAAAAAACACGATTCGCTTTCAGCTTACGTTTGAAACAAATTGATATATGCAAAAAACTGTCATAAATAAAATAAAGCGGAAAACGGGATGCCCGATTTATCTTCTCTTTCTGCATTTCCGTTAGTGCGAATAACCTAGCAACTCTACCCAACACTTGCTCCATGGCTGAAATGTAAAACAGTCGTAATTAAAGATTAACAAACTTGTTTCATGAAAATTAATTTAATAGAAAAATTACATTTAAACTTTACAGACGAATGAAAAATGGAAAAACGTGAATAGAATAACTTCTCAACTCACTTATAAGTATTTTGTACGAACCTCATTCAAGTTCAATCAAGATTACTTCGTGAAACGAATCTGAAATAAATTCATAAACCTACGACATAAGATAAATCTTTAAACTTTTTACATCATGCCGCCATATACATTTTGAAAGAAAAACTGCGCAGTCAACAAAGTAGAAAGTTGTCTCGATAACAATCTTCGGCATTGATCAGTCCCCCTTGTGGTCACCTTGGCTAGGATAATGACATCACGCGTCATTGCTTTCGGTGATATCACAGCGATTCGCTTAACTGCCTCGTAGTGACAATCAAGGTCATTGTAATTGTAAGAATTTTACGGAACATACTTCTCCCGTGTACATAAGGTTGGGACCTTTTAGGTAGAACCACAGTTGATGAGCTCGGGCAAAATTCAGTTTTAACAACACTTGACCTAGATTGTTCAGCAATTTGGTACGTGAGCATATACTTGTGTTAAGATCATTTTATTGCTTGTTAACCTCGATTATTTTCTCTATATTGTTTATAATTTCGAATAACCTCAACTTTGTGTTCAAATTTTTCATTCTTTGTTTTCAGAAACCGTTACAATCTACAACGCGTTTTCATTCTGAACAAATCCCCAGAACAAAGAGCCATAATCTTTACAGTAATGATCGTTTAAATTACAATAAAAATCATTGAGGTCATTGTTAAGATCATTTAAATTGCAATAAAAATCATTGTAACGATCGTTTGAATTGCAATCAAAGCCATTGTAATGGTCGTTTAAATTGCAATCAAGGCCATTGTAATGATCATTTCAAATGCAAAAAAATCACGTAATGATCGTAAAACTGCAATCAAGATCATTGTAATGATCGTTTAAATTACAATTGAGGTCATTGTTAAGATAGTTTAAATTGCAATTAAGATCATTGTAATGATAGTTCAAATTGCAATCAAGATCATTGTAATGGTCGTTAAGATTGCAATCAAGGTCATTGTAATGATCGTTCAAATTGCAATCACTTTCAATCAAGGTTATTGTAATGATCGTTTAAATTGCAATCAAGGTCATTGTAACGATCATTTAAAATGCAATAAAAATCACTGTAATGATCGTAAAACTGCAATCAAGATCATTGTAATGATCGTTTAAATTGCAATCAACATCATTGTAATGATTATTTAAATTGCAATTGAAGTCACAATAATGATCTTTAAAATTGCAATCCAGTTAAAATAAGGATCGTTTTAATCGTTCCGTGAAAAGGAGCTGAAATTCCCCGAAAATTCAATAGTCACGTATTGTGTCGTCAAGTGCAAACTTCAAGGAAGTTTGCGTTTCGTTGCGAAAACAACACATCTGCTTAGGCCAAGCAAACAGGATAGCGAGCCTAGAAGCATCGTCAAACCTCAGCCAATATGCCGACAAACATCGAAAATACATACACACTCAGACGTGATCACAACGAGAAACACAAGCACCAAAAACAGATACTTCATCAGCAGCTTGCACCACAAAATCGTCAACGTATATGACAAAGTTTCATGCCAATATTACAAAAATTAGATCAGTACTCACTGCAGTGAGTGACAGAGAGCTCATTTTATCGTCGACGAAAACGTGAAGTCACAGACGGACGGACGGACGGACGGACATGACGAGCATAATAGCGCTTTTTTCCACAAATGGAAAAATACGTTAAAAACTAATAGCACCAACAATTACCACGAAAATTATCGATAAACACTTGTAATTGGCATCCAAACACTAAGAAAAACCATGTAAAGTCGCGTGCAAACAGAACGAAGTACACGACAGCTCACCAACACAACGGCAACAAGAAGAGAAGTTGACCTTTGACCTCACATGCGGCGGCTTTCACCCTCGCCATCGCTGGTCGGGTGCAATAAACACGTCAACTTTCGATATTCCCTCAAATTATTCAATTAAATGATATTCAGACGCAACGTTATCACTATTAACTTCCTTAAACGAGCTCAAACTATCTTATCCCTTAATGGTTATGGTGAATAACTGCGTTGGAATTCTCTCCTTCGATAAATTAACAGAACAAAAATTAATGAGGTACATCTTATTTCTTTCATTCAGGAAAAAACCTTGCAGATAAATACTTCTACGGGACTTATCAAGTAAATTCACAGTACGCACGAAAACGTGCCAAATAATCTCCGAGTACGTAAGTTTGTATTCAAAGCTATCATGTCTACGGGTAATGATGTTGGATGCTATGTACAAACATCGCTGCTTGCTCACTCTGGACCTTGAAATCCAACTTTGCTCAGTCGGTTCACAGAAAGCGATCGCTCACAAAACACTTACACGAATATCATATACGATTGTTTTTCATGTTTTGTGTATAATTCACGTTTTGCTGTGTGATGAATTCCAGTTACTTGAATATTAGGATAGAATTATTTCGAGCATTCAGATTCACTGCACTCATTCCGTGAGTCATTCAAGTTCACTTCACCCACTCGGCCATATTCAATTAGGCACTTGACTGGCCCCCATCAAAATTAAATGCCGTGAAAAATGCATGGAGCATGTGACAATCTATTCAAATCGTCCTGATGAAAATCTCCAATAAATAGCAAGTCCAACTACTGCAAGCCCAGTAATAATGTTGCATATTGGTATTTCAGTCGGTTTGTTCTCATCATATCATGATAAACTTTAGAATTGCTTTCATATCACAGATTTCTCAACGAACAGCGGCGTGCTCGGTACACTTAATTAAGGAACGAGGAAGGAATGGGATAAGACCCATGCAAAGAAAGTACGAAAATTTTCCTTATTTATCATTATCTGTTCGACTTCCTCCTTGCATGTAACTGACGACAACTGCACCCCACCACGAAAGCCATACGAAAGTGAGTTCCCGCTAATAAATTGGTTAGTTCTCAACCGTAAAAGCTTCATTGTCTATTTGCGCGTGGCAAGAGATTCTGTATAGTCACTTCATGTCGAAGCTATCAGAATTAAAAGAGGAAATGCTAGAAAATATTGCCTGTTAGCAGCACGACGACTTTCTAAGAATTACTGGCAAAATAAAAGGTTTAGACCAAATTACAAGTTCTTCATAATTTTTATCATTCAACATGGGGATAATTTTAGCAGTACTTCTACAGCGCCAAATTTAGTCAGGAAATTTCTTGGTCTCGTATCAAAAAGACATTAGAATCTTGAAGGAACAATCAGCCGCACACATGGTTCATTATCACTGATATGTCATTAGGAATGCGAGAACACAATGGAACAAAGAAATTATTTTCTCCAAGTACAAAAAGAGGAAAACTAATTAAAAATTCCCAGCAATTATTATCCTATCCTCGACAAATAAAAGCGTCGATATGAGAACTATAATTAAAAAATATTCTGAAATAAATAGAAATTAAATTTGTAATTAATCTACTATGATTGTTCTGCTGTATTCAGAGTAAACTATGTTACCTGGATAGAACTACAAACTTGGCACGACAAAAATAAATTTGAACAACCTAACATACTACGAATCATAAAAGGTAAGCGAAAGAAAACAACGATAGGCAAAACATACACATATTAAAACTCAAAACAGCCTGTAACATTAAATTAAGCCCAAGGTACGGAGTGGCATGTAACGTCACGTTAAAAAGCGCAATTAGGCGAAGCACGACTGTAAGAACAGTGGCTCAGCGCAACGCAACTGAACGCACCTGCCAGACGTGGCGTGCGTTCGGGGGCAGGCGTTCGGCAAACAGGTGTACGCGCAACGCAACTGAACGCACCTGCCAGACGTGGCGTGCATTCGGGGGCAGGCGTTCGGCAAACAGGTGTACGCGCAACGCAACTGAACGCACTTGCCAGCCCTGACGTGCGTTCACACTCTGGCGATCCGCACGCACCCGGTGTACGCGCAACGCAACTGAACGCACCTGCCAGACATGACGCGCGTTCTGACACAAGCGTTCCGCACGCACCCGGCGAGCTAGGGCAGCTTAGCTAATTTCTAAGTTTCGCCGCCTGAACTGCGAGGCCTTGACCCTAGCGCTGCTCGTCTGTTTGCAGTGTTCAATCATTTTAAAGTTCGGGGTTTAGGATGAAGAAGGGACATCAGTCCCAGCAGGATACCTCGTGCATCTCATGCCTCGCGCATGCAACCATTGCTGCGGTGTGCAGAGATGAATAAATTTAAAACGTTTAAGATGTTTATTATTCAGTCATGCATCGCGGGAAGCAGAAATTTAACATATGGTTTTGTAATTATTAGTTGGAGGTACCATATATCCGGGGAATATTGAACTATCTAGAAGTTTGCTGAAATTGTGAACATAGTCAAAATGAAAAATGAGGTCGTTTATTCAATAATTTTCTGCTTAAAATCACATCTATCAGTGAATAGTAAAAAATATGTGTCCGCATATTTAAGAACATAAACCTAATATTATCTGTAAATATTTGGCAGTGAAGTTGTATTTTGAATGAGTATAGATTTCTTAACTAAGAGAATTTCAGTTTAACGATATAAGAAACGCTTCCCGTGATTCGTTTCTTAAAACGTTATATTTTCTAACGACATACTGTATCTTGCGTCTGATATATCTTCAGAAATTTTTACAGTATATTGCCCAGCTCAACTAAGCATATAGAGATACGTACAATAATGCCAGTTATTTTTATTCTTGCAGTAAACGTGTTACCTGTGCAGAAGCGAGTGCAGTTCACATCTGGTAAGGCAAGAGGGATATTTTATTCGAGGAAAAATCGTGGAAAGGTACGAAAATGAATCAAGAAGAATGGAAGCACAATAATTTCTAAAACCTTTTGAAACTGAAAAAATCTTTATTAATAATCAGACGTGAGTTATGTGCATATTCGTGGGT